GCCGGTAGGAATTGAACTCTGGACCTTGCCACTTGGGGTATGACAACTTGTCCACTTCACTAAGTCGCCACACCCTTAAAACTTAAATTAATAATACGTTATATACCAATAAAAATTTATATTTACTATATACTACTAAATTAAATTTATAATACATATTTGAGTTCAAATACTTTTTATCTAATTTTACACCCCTTAAATCTACATAGAACCCATTTTCTCTCACTAATGTCTGGACTTAATTTGATAATTTAAATATTTGAATTCAAAAACTTTTTATCTAATTTTACACCCCCTTAAATCCACACAGAACCTATTTCTCTCACTAATGTCTGGACTTAAGTTCCTCCGCTCTGCTCCAGAAATAATTTGAAAATTTGAATTCAAAAACTTTTTATCTAATTTTACACTTTTTAAATCCACACGGAACCCATTTCTCTCACTAATGTCTGAACTTAAGTTCCTCTGCTTTGCTCCGGAAATAATAATATGAACAAAATCTGAATAGAATTTTGACTTTTTTTTTATTTAGGTCCAAAGATATAATAGCAGTACAAGGATCTCACGCTGTGATTAGGCTCCATGGCTGCTGTCGCAGGCAGTGCAAGAGCCTCATGTTTGATGATTAAGCACCTTAGCTATGATAGCAGTGCAAGGATCTCATGCTGTGATTAGGCTCCATGGGTGTGATAGCAATGCAAGGATCTCATGTTGTGATTAGGCTCTATGACTCATGTTTGGTGATTAAGCTCCACAACTACGATAGCAGTACAAGGACCTTATATTGTAATTAAGCTCCGCGGCTGCAATAGCAATGCAAAGGAATTCATTTGTGATTAGGCTCTATGGCTGTCACAAGCAGCGCAAAAGCATTATTTTTGGTGAGTAAGCATCGCAGCTATGGTAGTAGAACAAGGATCTTACATTGAGGTTAGGCTCCGTAGCTGCGATATGGCAGATCACGAGTGAGATTGCAACCAATAAATAAAATGCTTAATTCTAATCATAAACTTTATTAGAAACGATCTACTGCATGTTGACAATTAAAAAAAGTGCAAAAAGTGCACGAAGTTCACGAATTCCTGCTAAAGACTAAAAATATTCCCTTCTATTTTGGGGTTGTTTTAATTATGTATGTATATACTAGCACTTTGTTGAGTCTTATTATATAGAATAGAAGAGAAATAAGAAAAAGAAAAGAAAAAAAAATATGAAAATAATATAGAAATAGAATAATAATTAACAAGGAGGAAAGAAGAAAACAAAAAAAAATAATAATAATAAAAACAAGGTCAGATCCTGGACCTTCACACTAAGTGAATTATATTGACACAGGCATTTAGACAAATTAAATAATTATTTTTAACAAAAAAAGGTATTATAAATATTAATTTAACTATTAATACTACTCATGCTAGGTGGCACAACTCTATCTTCTATATCAAATCTATCTTCATTTACATCAATAACGCCCCAAACCTTACTTGCTTTTGGACCCATAACTAATTCCATAATCACCCCTTTTGCAATATCTGAATGTCTAAACCATGTTTTTCTCCAATTTATATAGTGCGGGACACCTAAAGGCAGAAGTTACATGACTTTGTCACATTTTGGTTTGAATTTTGAAAAAGTTTCAAATCGTACAAAAAACCGATTTTATGATACCATAGTCACGTGACAACATGTCAAAGTTTGGAACCTGGTTTTATTTTAATACTACAGTTCTAGAAAACAAAACAAAACTTCAAATAAAGAAGCTTACAAACTTAACCTACTTCCTATCACACTCGGAGACTTCAATGCCTCCACTAACAATATTCATTCTAAACCTATTAAATATAAACTTCTCCAATACCTCTCATATAATAATATGTACAATTTAGCCTCTCACTCTAATTCATCTTCC